ACTGCAAGTTTATATCAAGCAATGACTAAATGTGAAATTTTGAAAGGGCTACTGATTACTTAGATGAATTGTTTCGGTCATTTATTTTGTACAGGGACAATGGTATGATATGATGATTATACCTGATGATTATGCCTGATATCCCAATAAATCATCAGGTTTGCTCCAACACTTTTGCTTTTTTTAATGTTTGTTTGTTTGTTTGTTTATTTATTTTATCTATCCATCCATCTGTCTATTTAGAGTTTAAGCTAGTGTCCATAATTATTACTAAATATTTAAAATGCTTAACAGTATTCATTACTTTTCCTTTAAAATATCTGGGAAAAGCTACTACTCTTTCTTGAGTATTATGCCCACAATAAGGGGAAGACAAGAGTGTCATAACCTGATATAACCATAATCTAAAACTTTGTTCAGTCAGTGTAGCTGTGAGCTTGATAGCAGCTTGTTTTTTGGCTTTTGCATGAGTATAGACAACAGTATGATCTGCATACATTTGAACCTCAAACTCTGGACAAACTATCAGGCAAATTATTAATCTATAGTCCAAACAAAAGTGGTCCAAGAATTGACCCCTATGGAACTCCTTTATTACAATCAAGAAATGGTGAGCATGCATTATTGTTTCTTCATTGTTTCTCAAATTTAAATATGACTCCACACTAATGTATAAGAAAAAAAATACACCTTGATAATTTAGATGAATCAACGTTATGATTAATGGTATCAAAAGCCTTTTTAAAATCCAGGAGGTTTCTCGGTTCACATGAGCAGAGGCTTGGAAACAATATTTCATACATCAGACCTTATCAAGTGGGAGAGAGAAGTGTGTAGTGGAGAGAATGAGTGTGTATGTGACATTAGCTCTGCGACCAGCGGATGACTGCAGTGGTTCACACAATGTGTGATTTCCAGCTCTCTGCAGCATGCTTTCACTCTCATTTCCATGGTGACTATGAGGACCTCTACTGACGCAGAGCTAAAATTATACCAGCGACGCTTTTTTACGGCCTGCAGTTTTAAGCTTGCAGACACGGCTCTGCCAAGTCGCACATGCATCGCTCAAAGTGTATCATAATCATACAGGATGTAGTTGAAGTAGAACTTCAACACCTTTTATCTTTCTGTGATGAGATGGAAGTGCACTTACCCAGAGTGAGGTTTTGCAGTGCACAGTCACCAATGATGTGTGGAAGCAGTCAAATGAGTTCATCTCGGTTCATCAGACAGACCACTTTCTCCACTGCTGATCACAGACTTGCTCCATAACTGAATAACAAAATAACGCAAGATATATGCTTGAAAATTAACATAAGAGCACACATTCAAAAAATTAATCAGTTTTAAGCAATGGTTTATTTTTTATTTTTAAGTTTTTATTATGTAAACATAGGGCCATGACAGTAATGTTGTAGAGATGGTCAAGACGATCTGCTGCAGACCAAACTGAGCATCAGAATGCAGAAATGTGATTTAAGTGACTTTGAATGTGGCAAAATTGTTGGTGCCAGATGGGCTGGTCTAAGTATTTTAGAAACTGCTGATCTACTGGGATTTTCAAGCACAACCATCTCTAGGGTTTACAGAGAATGGTCAGAAAACTGAAAATATCCACTGAGTCTGTTGATGCCAGAGGTAAGAGGGGAATGGCCAGACTGGTTCAAGCTGAAAGAAAGGGAACAGTAACTCAAAAAAACACTCGTTATAACCGAGGTATGCAGAAGAGCATCTCTGAACAAACAACACATCCAACCGTGGGGCAAATGGGCTACAGCAGCAGAAGACCACACTGGGGTCACTCCTGTCAGCTAATGACAGGGAACTGAGGCTACGATTCACACTGGCTAGCCAAAATTGGACAAGAGAAGATTGGAAATACAATGCCTGGTCTGATGAATCTCGGTTTCTGCTGCGACATTTGAATGGTAGGGTCAGAATTTGGCGTCAACAACATAAAAGCATGAATCCATCCTAACTTGTATTAACAGTTCAGGCTGGTATTGATAGTGTGGCGCAGTGGGGGATATTATCTTGGCACACTTTGGGCTCATTCGTACCAATTGAGCATTGTGTCAATGCCACAGCCTGCCTGAGTATTGTTGCTGACCATGTCCATCCCTTTATGACCATATCTAACTCTTTATTTAAAAAAAAAAGTAACACCGTTAACTTAAAAGCAACAAGTAAATCTATTATAACTTAGATTGTTAAGTTGACTAAATTTTATATTTTTTTGCATAATTTACCTTATACTTTTAAGGCAATGAGTTTACTCACTTTTTAAATTAAAGCAAACTAATCGCTTTTTACAGTGTAAAATAAAGATCTTTTAATGTTTAACTTTCTGTTTTAAAACATGCAGTTACTTTGTATTTGTAAAATGTACATATCATTTTGGAGTAATGAGGTTTTTTATGACATTTTTAAATATTATTCACGCTAAATGCTGCTCACTGATAAGGTAGCCTTATAGTTTATAGTATAAAGAACCAATTTATGCTATGAAATATTTAAATTAGAAAAGAGTTAAAAAAAAAAAAACTACATGAAATTCAACTCATTTTAGCATTTATTAATTTTTGAGCTTTTTTCAAAAATTCAGTAGCTTGCCGAATACCATCACTCGTCTCTGATGTGTCAATTTATTTTTAATTCTCACTGTAAATAAACAAATAACTATGGACTTTACCAAAATAAACTCAAAATTAGCTTCTTATTACCAGTTATTAAGGTAATAGTTGGGTTTAGGGATTGAATAGGATTAGGCTGTAGAACAATATCATGCAGATATGTAATAAAAAACAGCTAATATCTTAATAATACTTTACATTTATTAGTAAAAGGCTTCGTTATGGATGTGACATTGTCACTTATGTGTCTTTGGTAAATCGAATATAATTGTTTGAGGCATTTTTGAGTATTTTTAAATAACTGTAAAACACTTGCTTACACAAAAACTGTAGAAACAGTTTTGATATTTTGGTGAAAACTTTTTTTTTATTATTCATGGGAAGTTTGACATTTGCATGGAATTGCTCTATAAAGTGCTACCAGCAATCTTAATTATTTCTTCTGTTCAGACTTCGGTCACAGATTCTTAAGTAAAACACTGGATAACTCAATTAGAGTAGAAATAGAAGTTGTAGTTCTAAGGAAAAGCAAAACTGACTCTACTTGTTGTAATGTTTTTTACTGCAAAGCTATGCAAATATCTGCATGGTCATCCACATGCCATTTTTATTCATAATTTTTTTAATTATTTCTACCATTTTATTTAATCACCATTTGTCTTTTAAGGAGATTAACAGCCTAAGTATCTATTCCCAAGTGATAAATTATTCTGTTTCTCAATTAAGTGCTCAGCATAATGCGGTCAGCGATGGTCACCCGATCCCATATTTACCCCTCATAGGTGTCTTGGGATACTGTTTCCTGACAGACGTTTGAACAAGACACCATGTATGGCTGGCCAAATGTAACTTGATACTGATAATGAAGTTGCATACTCTTTTGGCTGGCAGTTATAAGACACTCGTACCTTGACCAGGCCTGAGGGCTGATGGTGTTGGCGTATGTCTCCTTAAAAAAAAGCCTTTGATTACACACACCTAAATGCAGTCTGTGTGTGTTTTCATAAAGTGACTGTGGAGGAAATAACTCTTCTTTGTGCTTTCCAGCTGGGCAATTTGAAACCATACAGCTGGTCAATTGCACAGCCTATGGAGAACACCACACGGGCCAAGTGTAACTGATATAGCACAGATCCTTAGTCTCAGGTTCTTCCTTAATGAATTTTGCTAGGCTGTTATCATTGTTTTAAATACAGCTATTATTGCTTTTATTTTTATTTACCTGTTTATTTTAATTGTGGTCTACTCATAATTAATGTTTTACAGATTAATTCCACTATTTCTAATGCAATTGCATCATACATTGACATATTTTACAGTTATGTACCATGCACTCTTAAAAATAATTTACATTTTAAGTAAGTTTTCATATATTTTTTCTTTATTTTTTATTATTATTTCGTTAATTATTGTTATTATTAATTTTATTATTTACATTTTTTATACACATTAGGAAATAATAATCACCATTAATCAATTTTAATCAAATACACTTTTATCTATGCTAATATATAATTTATACAGATTTTTTTCTGTTTGCAATATTTTTTTTAACAATTTGTAAATATTTGTTAATTTACTCATTCAAATTGTACGTAATCTTTTTTGTGAATTAAAAATAAAACTACAAACAATGCAATTCAAGTAGATATTAAAATGAGATTATTTAACTTAATGAATTGTACATTTAAATCTAATTTCTTAGCTAAATTATTTATTAATTCAAATTGCATTTTGAGTTTTCTCTGAACATTTTCATTGTCCCTTCAGCACTAAACTCTGGTCCTGACCCCAAATTAAAAACTGGTAGCTGGTACAAAATATTTTCCGTATTTTGTTATTCATGTTTTTTTTTTCTTTGTTTAATAATATAAAATTTAGCTTTTCTTTTAAATTGCATTATAGGATCTTGATCTATCCTCCAAAAGCTTTTTATCGACATTTTAAATAGTTTTAAGTGATATATTGTGAGGGTTTGTGATGTAAATTACAGTACAAAAACCTTGTAATTACCAGTATACATTCTGTTATTTTACAGACTTAGTTCTCTATATATTATATAAATCGTAAACACAAACAAATCTCTCCAACATGTCAATAAAAGTCATTTTTTAAAACTAGATTGTTGTAGAGTGTTAATTAACAGATATTTTTTACAGTGTATGTTTGCAATAGCTTTATCAGAATTAAAGTACGTGTCACATACTGACGTCGATCTATAGAAAATGCATATCCAAATGGCCAGTCCTAGGCGCACATGTTTATGTGAGCTTGTGACTGCAATTGCTGCGATTCAAAGCAATTGAGCAATATCTCTTGACACCACCAATAACACACGCACTCAGCTGCAGAGGAGGCGGGTGGAGAGAGAGAGAAAGAGAGGGAGAGAGAGGGTGTGTGTGTGTAGCCTGTACTGTATGCGAGAACGACTGAGTGCAGTGTTTGTGCGGACTCGAGGCGCAGAAAGAGAGAGAGAGACACTTGGAACCGTGACAGAAAAATAAACGGGGATCCAACAGATCTGAAGACACGGAGTCCTCATCTCATCATCACCGTCCATCCAGCCGCGCGTCTCTGCGACAGAAGCCCGCGTCTCCTTCAGACCTGCTGCGGTGGACCCACGATTCATTTATACGCTCCAGCATCTTGACAGAGACTGATCTTACATGTACATATTCATTATTAAGACATACCTGCTGCTATTTTCATCTTTATTCTGATTGTTCGTCTGATTGATTCATCGATCTCGGCTTTATTTGACAGTGGCGATGATCGTCCACACATAGGCTGCTGCTCCTCGAGCTGAAGGACTGCAGTGGAGGACGGGTTTCCCAGGGATACGTTTGGATTTTTTTTCTTAGCGTAGTAAGGACTCCATCAGCATCACTTGTGTACGAGGACCGTTGAAAATGGCCGTGTTTTATTCTTGACACCTCAACACGGCGGAGAACAGAGTCTCTTCAGGTATTTTCTCGATCCGAGTTTCAGCATTATCCGGCTATGATGTAGACGCTCACGGCAATACGCTCATCATCAGTGTTCCTTATTGAGTATTAATTAGGATCAACCCAGGGCCTTCTTCTGATTTCTGTCATCAAAATGCCGGCTGGAATGAAGCCTCTTGAAAAATTCTTGAAGAAGCAGACCAATGCACTCACTCGGGCGGGTGGTTTTGGGGAGAAGGCTACCGGCACCGGGGCATCCAGACGGCGGGCCAGCCTGTCCCGTGTGGTGCCATTCTTCAGGGAGACGTCTCCCGAGAGCGGCCCGGCGAGGGAGGTGTTCAGTCCGGAGACCGAAGAAGCGCCGTGCTGGCCCTCCGCAACTGCGGACATCAGGAGCCCGTCGCTGTCCAGCGATGAGCAGAGCTCGGAGGCGAGTCTGGACACGAACTGGACCCCTCTGCCCGCGGACACTCCAGAGAACCTAGCGCTGGCGCTGCTGGACAGCGTGGCGGGAAAGCGGTACGCCAACTGCACAGGTGAGACGAGTCCCTCTTAGCTCTGTCCTGTCATAAATATTTTCAAAGCCCTCACGCTTGATTCAGGTTGTTACATTTGCTTCAGGTTGTTTACAGTATCGTAACATTATTTCTATGTGTTACTATGGTGACTGTATGGCGCATTGCTGTGTTGTATTGTGTGATGCTATCACATTTCCATACTAGGCTACTCTGTTATTTTGCACTTCAAATTCACTTTCACAAATATCGATATTCTCATGGTGATTTTTTTGCCATTACGGTTAACTAGGGAGAAGGAAAAGTTCTAGGGTCTCAGGAAAGTTTATAATTTAGCTTATAAAGTAATATTGTGTATTCGTTATAGTAATAATAATCATGTTTATATTAATATAAACTAATTAAAACTGGATTAAAGTGGATCCAGATGAGAAATATTTCAAGCAATGACTAATATTTAAAAAAGTATTAGTGTCAACCTACCCCAGTGACACATTTTCTTAAAAGCATACATTTTATTATATTTCGACTTTAATGCAAATATATTCTTAGTGTTTGTGCATATGTATTTACATTTTAAGTGACATAAGCAATTATAGTGTAGATCAATTATGTTTTACAAAAATAAGTTGCAGATTAAATATCATAATCATGTTAATCACTGTAATGAGCTTCTCCATAAATTGCACATGATATTTATTAATTTGCTGGTTATTTTATCTTGCTTTTTTATGTTATGCCACAATCCAAAATTATATCAACTTGAAACTGCATTTTCATGTAAAAAATTACTTTGGACATTTCTTTAAAAAATCTATTTATTTAAATATTTTCAAAATTACATTTCATTTAGTTGTTTAAGTTTGCATATTGCACAGATGTAACAAATTTCATACGTTACTCAGCTGATCATTTTTGGTTGCCAGAACGCGCTTTGTTAGTCTGTCAGGAAGGTTTTCCTTAATTAAAAATAAAGTTCGCTTTCAGGTTCTTCCTGCAACTTTTTAGGAAAGTTAGTTTTTGGCTCTGTAAAAAATATGTTACTGAGAACGTTACCAGTTTTTTAATATTTGGATGCCAAAAGGAACCCAATGGTAACCAAGTGAAAATAAGGGGTACATTCTGTTTACTGGACTGGGAATATAATGATAGTTAGCGGTCAGATAATAACGTCCTGATAGTGGTGCTGTAGCTAATTAACACATTTTTAACTTTAAAATGGTTGCCTGTTCATGCCTTATGTGGATGCCATAAGCAGGGGTGGACTTAGAGATTTGGGGCCCTAAGCAATTGTATGTACTGGGTCCCATTAAAACTCAAAACATTCTATTTCTCTGTACATATTCCTCTGTAGATTAGTTTTTATTATAATTTTTTTAATAAACTGTGCCCATTGGCACTGAACATATTGGACCAGTTACCGAAGATGCAACAACAAAAATGCATAGCACTGTCATTTTTCCTCCGTATAGTAACCAAATATTCTTTTATTTGAACAGGCCCTTTCTTAACAAGCTCACAATTGTTCCACTATTCATGCCCCCTGTGGTTTTGAAAATAAGTAATAACATTAAAATCTTAATTTTTATTGACAGATTTTTACAACATATGATAGAAAATTTATAAAAGAGCTAGAGCTATATGATTACTATAGGCTTCTTGACATTGGTCGAAGCCTCCTTATTCCCTGGGGCCCTAAGCGGCTGCTTACTTCGTTTATTGGTTAGGTTCGCCCCTGGCCATTAGCAATTAGTTTTAGGTGATGTTTGAAGTAAAAAACATTTTAGAAAAGTCAACAAGATACAGCATTTGTAACACATTTTACTTTGGAAAAATATGAGTCAGGTAACTAGAAAAACTTGTAGGGCAGGACTTCATTTTATCAGGAATTGATTAAATTGTGAAAAATAGGTGTGCCGTACCAGAGTGCAACCAGATCTTAATGTTTTCATTAACACAACCAGACTGACTTCCTTAAAGTTTCTGCTCTCACAACTACATTTTCGGGAGAAGCTCTACTTTGTAAACTGAATCACAGTTAACAACTAGTTGGCACTTACGTCATATTGTGCAGAAGCTATTCTGCTATTTACTTTATCTCTATGGTTAAAGGTGTTATTCATTGCTTTTTGCAAGAATAATCTATTCGTACAAATAGTATTTGAGCTGCCTTAGTAGGCTGGTAGGCTGATATATGAACAGCTTCATGTCATTTGTATATATATATATATATAGTATCTGTTGTAAAATCACTCAAAGAATGAGTAAAAAGACCTTTTAAAAGTACTTAAGAGTGAGTATTACGCTGTAAAAAGCTGATGCATTTACATGGAGTTTGAGGATGTGTGTAAACGTAACATTCTGCAGTACATTTAGTTGTTGCCCGTCAGGCAAACAACGTCATAAGATGTTACTATTAGGCTCGATTTAGTTTGTGATGTCAGGTGACCAAAATTCAATGTCTAGCCAACATCTAAGGACAATGTTATTTTGATGTCAAATAACGACTTTGTCACACCTGGGCTCTCTCAGAAAGGCAAAGGATCACAAGAGTTTAAAACAGATGGTGTTAGAAAGTGACAAAAATCCAACGTTGAGCCAACATCTTAATCCAACATCTTTTAAATGTCAAATACTGATGTTTATTCATCAATTATGGCAACCAAAATCCAACATCTACACAACAACAAGCTGTAACATCATTAGATGTTGATATTTGGTTGATTTTTAGGTTGGACGTCGGCCTGATGCTGAGTTCTGACGTCAGCCTGATTTCCTTTCCAAACAAAATGCAACATCCCCACGATGTTGGGGTGCAACGTCAATCTGAGGTCATGTTGATATCTTGTGCCTGCTGGGTGTTTAAAGCCATTTCGATCATCATACAGTAAACAACCGTCATCTTGTCATCAGTGACATGCATCTAAACAGTCTTTAGGTCAATGCGTGTACGATTTTGGACATTTTCTTGGACACTTTTAATGGTTGCAAACAGTTTGTTGTAATTATAAATCAGCCATGTCTTGAGGTAGTTCATTATGATGCAATTTACCTTTAATGTGCGATCTGACAGGAATCACAGGACTGAATCTTTTAATCCTCATAGACAAGAAATAATAAAGCAATGACTGCAGGTTGAAGGAAAGTAGTGGAGTAAAAGTACCAATACTGCAGTAAAATGTACTCAAGCAAAAGTAAAAGTACACATTTTTAAAACTACTCAGTAAATTACTATTCCTGAGAAAAACTACTCAATTACAGTAATTTGAGTCATTGTAATTTTTTACTTTACGTCACTGGTGGTTTGACAGTAGACTACTATCCTAGCAAGACTAGTTGTAAACCTTGAGTTTCATTGACCACTGGTAACATTTAAAAGGTCAAATCAAAAGGTCACATGTAGTGATGTCATAAAGCAAAGTGCTTTCACATTTGTCAATAACAGCTCCTATCACTAATGAGGAACTGTCTGGGACTATCTACAAGTAGGGCGGTGCTTGGGTTTTTCCTTCTGACAAGAGAATAAAAACATTAGATGTTTCCACGGTGCTTTCCTTTGTGTTTTCCTCAAATTGGTGTTATGGATGTTTCATGAACTGACAAGCACCTACCACCCACACTTGACACCTACATAGAGCACCGAGCACCTGTATGTAGAAAACACCATGAACAAATCAGTTCCTGTGCCAAATGAGGGGATTGTTATTTTGATCTCAGACAAAGGAAGTTTTACAGGGAAATGACAAATTGTGATGTATTGTGATGGGAATGGGCCGTCTGTAACAAGTGCATACATGTTACGTGCGGCTGTAAGTTCCAGGACTTTTATGCTGTGAAGAATGGCTCTCCCACACATTCATTGGCAGTGATGCTTTGCAGCCTCAGTGCAGCAGTTCGCACCACACATGTGCATCCGAGTGTTTTTGTGAAGTAACCATGGAAACAGCAGGGATTTTACCAGTATGCCGGTGCATTAAGAGAGTATTATGCTTGATGTGAAATCACTGGGCTGACAAGCCGCTTGCTTTGCTTCAGTGTTATTAGGATATATTGTAAATGATGACATGCCTTTTTTATTTAAGGTAAATGATGATGATGGATAGACAAGTTCTGCCTTTTTTGCTGAGCTGCTTTTTTTTCCTGGAGTGATAAATTTAGATTTTTTTTCTTAAAGTCCACATGCAATCAAAATTGACAGTGTTTATTTTGCAAGGACACATTGGTATTCTTTAGGTGAACTATTAATCTGTGCTAGTTAATTGGTAATTTCCAAACAAATTCGGATCATTTGTTTGTTGATATCAGTTTAACAGGCTCCTCTTACTTTTAGTTTGCTATGAGACGCTGACTACGTTTACATGGACATATGTAATCAAATTATGTACCTTAATCTGAATAAGACAATAGTATGATTAAGGTCTTTACATGAGTTGCTTTATTTTTAAATGATTATTTATGTGCTGTTTGCTTTTTTTTTTAAACTACAACAAAGCTACAACAAAATATAGAAGAGAAGAAAAAAAATACAATTCAATACAATACAATAATAATACATATAAAATACAATACATAAAAACACTAACCTATGACAGGACAAGAGAACACAGAGGGAAAAATGCATATAAAAGCAAAATATAATTTAGCTGGTCAGGTAATGCATGAATAAAAGCAATTATAAAGTAACATTATTCTTGTATTACCAGAAAAATGCATGATCCTGACAATAGTTTTATTGGCAAATAATAGATTGGGCACATTATTAAAAACATTATAGCTTATGAATAGTGAATATCGATTACACTTAATCTTTAATTGCTATGTTATTGACAGGGGTCATTAGTTTGCATTAATGTGTTCCAATAACTGTCCCCATGTTTTATCAAATATCTTAAATTTGTCATTATTGATATATCTCAACCTCGCTAAAACAAGCATGTTTACGATATCTCTACCCCACATACCAAATTTAGGTACATTTGTCCACATTCTCAAAATCACCCTTTTGATAATTACCATATCAA